AAACTTTAGAGATTTTATTATTATGTTTTCTGTTGTAGAATGAGTAAAATTTAAACAAAAATGAAAATGTATAGACGAAATTTACGAAAAAATGTAAAATCAGTTGCTCTAATGCTGCTTAACAAAAAATTTCAAATCACACATAATCAATACGCTCACTAAACGACAGGCTAAATATAATAAAATTGCTTTTTTAGTTCTTCAATCTGACGTCAGGATTTTTTAAAGGACTTTGTTGTTGAAAAAATATTATTAATTAAATAAATTATTTAAATAAATCAGTACAATATAGAAAAACAATACGGGTACCAAATGAAAGAGAAAATTCTGCAGGAATTAAAAACATTAAATTTTTTTAGTTTACAAGAACGAATAGTTATTGAAAATGCGTTTTCATTTATGTCCTTATCACATAATTTTTTCAAAAATAAATATTGAAAATGTTCAAGGATATTCAAGAAAAAAAATTTTTGAAGACATTTTCCTTATGCACAAAAAATGTAGTCTTTCTTAATTTTACAGAATTTTCTCTTTTTTTTGGTATCCACACTGTTACGCTAAATTGAACTGAATTTTTTAAATAATTATTTGAATTAATAATTTTTTGTAATTTCAAAGCCCTTAAAAAAATCATGACGTCATAAGCAATTTTACTATACCTTGCCCATAGTTTCGCTAATATATTAATTTTTTGTGCGTAAAATTTACTGCCGCACGGTGGAGTAATCAACGTGAAATGCATAAAAAAAAAGTTTGAAAAGCAACTAGTGAATTAGTGAGTCTTTTAGGGGACTAACTCTGAAACACTACCTTTCCGATGCAAAAAGAATTATCGCCATCGGTGGACGTGGTCCAAAGTTATGCGGTAACATACATAAAAAAAAAAAAAATATTCCGACGAACTGATATCCTCCTCCTTTTTTGGAAGTCGGTTAAAAATACCCCGTAAATCAGAGCAAAAGCAAGGAGATTTCTTCTCAAAATTCTAAAAAAAATTAATGAACAAGAAGTTGTCACCTTATTTTCAGCCGATAAATTTGAGAAGAAATTCAAGCTAAAATTAAAAAGACTTTCGAGCAAAAATTTCTTCAGTCTTGTCTCCTCTCGCTCTCCTTGGCCTAAAAGGTTTTGTGGACGTCAAATACCGAACACTGAGTACGGGATATAAAAAGAAATACAGAACATTCAGCGGCCCGTATGAAAGAAATAAATTATCAGGACAATTGACGAAAAAGGACTGTCCCTTCAATTGAGGACGGATGCCCATATAGCTTTTGGCTTACACAAACTCACACACACTCAATCTCCGATCGACCAGAATAAAATTTTTTCGCCATTGTTTTGGATGTAGACTGTTTATTTGCGTCTTATAAACAACAAGTCTGTATAGCGAATTTCCTTCATTGTAGTTGTTGGAACAGAGTCATTATTCACATACAGTATTTACCNACCAGAATAAAATTTTTTCGCCATTGTTTTGGATGTAGACTGTTTATTTGCGTCTTATAAACAACAAGTCTGTATAGCGAATTTCCTTCATTGTAGTTGTTGGAACAGAGTCATTATTCACATACAGTATTTACCAAGTTAATATCTGGTTTGAGTGATCGCTCTTTTTCGTAAAAACATAAAGCTCGGATCACTTTGACGACTGCAACTTCACGACGTAACGACAGCGACATCATTTTGTCGACAAATGTCGCCTTGAAGCCAGCTTCTTAAACATTTTGAAGACCTCAGCGACATAGCAAACAGCTGATTTTAAAGTTTGACATTTTGGTATATTTATTTTAAAAATTGTGTATTTTTATTTAAGTAAATAAGAAAAACATGAACAATCAAGAATATGTGATTAATTTTGCGACAATTTAATTTTGCAGCACTACATCTACTCATTGTCGCCGGCAAAATTAGAAATAGATTTAATTTGGCGACGTCGACAATTGCAGTCCTGCAGCCAAGATGTCGTGCTGTCGTCAAAATAATTGTGTCCGTAAGAACGTGTGTATTTAAAACTTGACAGATGCTGCTTGTCGCTTGCTGTCGTCAAAGTGTTCCGAGCTTAACGCTTGATGAGCACTCGAAATTACATAGCTTTTTCCAATGCTCCCCAAGTTGCAACAGGGAAAACCTACAAAGTCACGGACTTATTGATCCACCCTCATATCTTAGTAAATTCATTTTTGTCGCGCGATCGATCCAGTTTGCATCGGAGAAGAGTTTGTTTCTATGCCTAATAAAGCACAAATTGCGTGGTTCAAATATTAAAAGCGATCTATATATCCTGAAAATTTTCTTCTGGAAAAGAAGTCACACATGAATTATCGCCTAAATTATACAAATTTTAACTTTTTTAAATTTTATTTTTATTTTGTGTTTAGAGTTAGTCATCATGTATGGAACTTTTGCATTTGCCATATTTATTGGATTCTCTTTTTTGGTGGTATACCTGATGTGCAAGTAAGTTTTATCGATTTTTTAATAACATGAATACAGCCATTAAAACTGTAAGAGTCCATTCGTTATGCCTTTGGTTAACAATTTCTATATCTGTTTCTAGACAAATGAAGTTGAATAACGAATTGAACAACATGTCATGGCGTGTACGCCCAGATGAGGTACTCCTTGAGGTAGGAAGACTGTATGGCAGTAAAGTTGGTCTACAAAAACTCAATGTGGAGGTTAGCTTAAGCAAATGAGACTGAAATTGCAAAGTCAAATTCTTCTTTTATTCTTTGGAATATATCCTATTTACACCTATTTTTCCGCACAGAACTTTTCACTTCAGCAGTATGATATCCATTCCGGACGCGCATCTATTGCTAGTTGTGCCTCGCTGCCGCTCACCCAAGTCTTTACCACAATTGGCATTTTCAAAGGTGAACGTGTCGCCATTAAGAAGATACATCGCAAGAAGGTCGACATAACACCAACCCTCTTGTGGGAAATCAAGCAGGCGCGTGATGTTAGCCACGAGAACACGGTGCGTTTTGTTGGCGCCTGCATAGATTTGCCACGCCCGACCGTACTAATACTTACCGAATACTGTCCCAAGGGTAGTTTAAAAGATGTGCTGGAGAACGAGGCAATACAATTGGATTGGAATTTTCGTATGTCGCTCATCCACGATATAGTCAAGGGCATGGCTTATCTGCATAATAGCGATGTGCAGGTTCATGGCAAATTGCGCTCATGTAACTGTCTCATCGATGGCAGGTTTGTGTTGAAGATCTCTGATTTTGGTTTGCGTTCATTGACTACGCCATCTGAGTTTGTGAAGGATCAAAATTACTTTAATAGTGAGTTGAATATAGTAGTTAGCACATAGATTTATGTTTAGCTATTAAAAATCTCAATGTTGTACCTCTTTTATTCCAGAATTCCTTTGGATTGCACCAGAGCTGCTACCTGTTACAGTACTACCCGGTAATCCGGCCACGCAGAAGGGAGATGTTTACTCATTTGCTATAATATTGGAAGAAATTGTTGTGCGCGGTGGCCCCTATGAAATGGCACGCCAGTTTATGGATGTGCAAACTATAGTGAATCGAGTGGAGGCGCATGAACTACCACCATTTCGACCATTTGTTGGTCAACGCGACTGTCCGCCCGATGTACTAGACTTAATGGAAAAATGCTGGGCTGATAATCCGGATGATAGGCCGGCATTTGCTACGATACGATCATCGGTGCGATTGATTATGAAGTAGGTTATAGTAGGTATTTTTGTACATTCTCTATTTCTCACGCTCTGCTCCACCATGCACTCTCAGAGGTTTTTGCGAGAATCTAATGGATGATTTATTACGTCGCATGGAACAGTATGCCAATAATTTGGAAAGTTTAGTTGAAGAAAAAACCGAACAACTGAGTATGGAAAAACGTCGCACTGAAGAGCTACTTTATCAGGTGCTTCCAAGACCTGTAGCAACACAGTTGCTGGCAGGCGAAATGGTACAACCGGAACAATTTGAGTGTGTGACTATCTATTTCAGCGATATTGTGGGTTTTACGGCGCTATGTGCTGAAAGCGGACCCATGGAAGTGGTCGCCTTTCTGAACGATCTTTATAGCACATTCGATCGTATTATCGGGTTTTATGATGTGTATAAGGTAAGTTTTGAGAAGACAATATGTGTGGAATTTTAAATCATTCAACGCCATATCTCTTTGTAGGTTGAAACAATTGGTGATGCATACATGGTGGTTTCGGGCTTACCCGAACGTAATGACGACCATGCACGTGAAATAGGCCTTATGGCGCTTGCTATATTGGATGCCGTAAAATCATTTACGATACGTCATAAACCAGATTATCAATAAAAATAAGGATTGGCATACACGCTGGTCCAGTTTGTGCGGGTGTTGTTGGTCAAAAGATGCCACACTATTGCTTGTTCGGTGATACTGTGAACACAGCTTCACGCATGGAGTCAGCAGGGTTACGTAAGTACATAGCATAAAGACAATGCTCATAAATAGCGCACTAGGTTTAGAAGTTACTAATTTGGGGTATTCAAATGATGGCCAATGGCGGCTTTGTAGATGATGAGAAACATTTTTGCGAATAATGGATATGCTTGGAGGCGCTGGAGTCGAGATAGGCACATGTCTTCTTTACACCCCTTTTTACAGCTAAGCTATACTTCTGAGGGTATTTTAAAGCTGATGTGCAGAAAATTAATCAAATTTCAAATTAGTTTAAATTAAAACGAATTTGTACTAATTGAAATGCCATACGTGTACAGTGTACACGAGAAAGGAATGACTTCTAAATGTGTACTTTGCTCTTTTCCATGTTGATCAATTTGGTGTAATTTTTTTAATGTTTTTTGTAGGCTTGGTAGATCTGTCACGTGCAAGTATGCTTTAGTATTGACACTAAATTATATAAAAATGCTAAGCGGCAGTTTAGGACAAAGAGGAAGGTAAATTTAAACACTTAATATAATAACAAACTTGGAGGTGAATAGGCCGTATGAATAAAAACTAAGCAATTGCTTTTTCTTAAAATTGCATACCTTTTACTTTAATTTTATTTGAATAAATCGAGTAAAACGTGCGAAATTTTAAGAAAAAGCAATTGCTTATTTTGATTCATACGGTTCAGATAAAGAAAGGAATAAAGATAAGGATCAGGATAAAGGTAAAGGAAAAGATAATAATTAAAAGACAAATAAAGGGATATACATACACAAAGATAAAGATAGTGATAGTCATAAAGATAGAGACAAAGAAAAAATAAATCTGTACAATGAGATATGTTATGGAATGTTATGTTCTGTTTTGTTATGTTATGTTATTTGATGTTATATTTATTATGTTATGTTATGCTCTGTTATGTTATTTTATTTTATATTATATTTTGTTACGCTATGTTACGCTATGTTATGTTTTCTTCTGTTTTGTTATTTTATGCTTTGTTATGCTATGTTACGTTATGTTATGTTATATTATATTTTGTGTTTGGTGTGTTCTGTCGTGTTATGTAATATAATGTTGTTCAATGCATTTGCGTTTCAAATATATTTGTGTGGCATATTTGTAGGGATTTTATTAAAAAATGAAATGGCAGCATGATTCTCTCACGGCTCTCTTTGCACTTAGAAATTTAACTCAGAAAACAAAAATCTATAGTTTTCCAAGTTTCTAAGTGAAGTTGATTTTTTGGGTAACTACATACACGCACTGCTCATTTGCCAGATATACAATTTTCAAGTCAAGTCAAGTCTAAGTCTTGCATAACTGAGCGTTAACAGAGCTCAGTTTTGTATTTAATAGAAAATCTCTAAATTTGAAATAAATTTGGCAATAACGCTTTGAGTATGAAACATTCAATACATATATTCTCTTATTTACAGCCCTAAAGATACACGTCTCTTCAGCGGCCAAAGCTATTTTCGACAAATTTGGCACTTTTCAAATGGAATTACGCGGCGAAGTCGAATTGAAAGGCAAAGGCACAGTCACTACTTATTGGCTTTTGGGTTGCACTGAACCAGATCCGCGACCACCAACGCCACAAAAGAACAATAACGGTGAGGTACCATTCCCCATACTCTTTCCAGCAATTGGTAAATAGCTCTCTGCTGCCGAAGGATTAGAGCATGATTGATTGTAGGGCCTCCGAAATATGAAATACGCTCAATTGTTACCTGTTAAAATGTTTTACATAAGTATGTTTATTTATCTTTATAAACAAATTCATTAACACAGAGTACAACATTCGATGTACCTAAAATTTTGTATTATTATCGTGTATGTAGTAAAAGTATGTAGTAACAATTTATTATTGATAATGTATGTTTGTATGCGTGTGGCTATATCTATGTATTAAGTATATCAGTATCATTGAAAATATTCAGTCTAAAATAAGCTGGACAAAAAGACAACAGTTAGCACTCATTTTGGTAGTTTGAAAGTTTAGGAATACCCAAATTTTCTTTGCCGATCATTGTAGTCGTTTTTACATTTTTCGTCATATCGTCGGCAACTACAGTCGGATCTTTAAGTATAATATATCGATGTTTTTGCCTCAAGTAGTTATTTTTTCCAAAGTTTATTGTCTTCAACTACCTTATCACCTCTTATCACCTTAACAACCCGCCCTAATGTTATTAAATTAAAGCTCACCATATTTCGATTATTGCAGTAAAATTATTTAAAAAATAATAATTTATTAGCGAATTTAAGTGTCACCGAAAAATGTAAAAAGGCTACCGACACCTAGGTTCGGACAAAACATTTTTTTTTTTTGAAAGTGCTTTGCAGAAATACTTTATACTCAGGGGTGTACGGCTAACTTTTTTTTGTTTGCTGTAGCCAGAGGAGCCTATCAAAAAAAAAAAATTTGAATAGAATGAAAAAGTAGGATCTATAAATAATAAATACCGTCGTTTGATTAAAAATTCATTCCATCTACATGATGCTACCTAGTAAAAGAAATTTAAAAGGGAGTGTCTCGGACCATTACCGCTTCGATTCTAGTAATGCATTCAAAGCTGTACGTCAATTCATTTATTATTATTATTTTTTGTATGTCAGTTGGGCTGCTCTGGCTCTCAACACCTCATATGTATGCACTAGACCTCTGCATGGGTTGATTCAAATTTCAAGCCAAACAGAGTACAGTATAAATGTTATCAAAGCTGGGGTAAATAATATTTGACTAATCGAAAATCAGCATTGTACTGTGTGAAGCTACTAACCCAGACATAGTAAGTTTAACTTTCTTACTTTTTTAAAGTAGTGAAATAATAATATAAATATGTTTGTTTGTATATGTAGGTGCGCACGTTGAGATCAATTCCATTATTTTAAATACGTCAAATACAAGTAACAAACATGCACAACGTAAATATTCACTCAATTTAATTTCACATCGTTTGAATACTGTCATTTTGGCACCCATATCAACACAGCTATGCACTCAAATTCCACAAAATTCCAAGCAAAATTCATTCACTCAGTTTAAATATGAGTGATTCATTTGCCGTTTGAATTTGATTTATGCAGACGTCTAGTATTTACATACAACATATTTAAGCATGTAGACTAGTTAATAAAAATACCTACTTATTTATATAGCATACGTTTTAATGTGTTATAAATGTGTGTGAGGAAAATACAAATAAATTTTAGAACTAAGTTAGTATGCAAACAGATGTGACGTTTTGAATAAAAAGGTAAGAAATGTTTGATGCTCTTTCAAAATACACAGCGTTTATTTTTATAAATCGCTACCCCATTGGCGAATGTGGCCCAAATTACGTAAATTTGTTTGAAAATCAATTTATCATTTAATCGGAATAACAAACATTTTCTTGTAGTCAAAATGCTGTAAAAACGGCTTCAAACACGCATAACTTGTAAAAACAAAACAAAAAAATGTTAACGATTTTATTTCATAAATTTTTTTTTAATAAAAAACTACGCATAATTTCGTCGCTGGAATAATGAAATAGTGTAACATGAAAAGTATAGTTTTGAGAAAAACGAAGTTTTTATAAACCATTACAAACCATACAAATACAATTTCGTTTTTCGGCAATATATTAGTGAGCCAAAGAGATATTTAAGAAAACTAAAGATTTTTCTAATAGATTAAAGGATTGTCTATCCAATGGCGCAATTATCGAATAATAGTGTATGTGGAATTTACACTGTTTCTTTATTCGAGCGACGATTTATAGTAATATTAATAAATTTTCTGAGACATAGATTGCATGCATAATCAGAAAGTACGGAATCAGAGCTCGAACATTTTAAATGGTATCCTAGACTGGCCGCCGCTGCTGGCTGGTTATGCAAAATTTCCGAGTTTGATGTTGAAATAAAATACAGGTTATATACATATGTATGTCGGCCGCTGTGGCGTAGTGGTAAGCAGTGCGCGCTTTCACTCACCAGCACCTGGGTTCAAGCCCTGGTCAAAGCAACATAGCAAAAAATATAGAAAAAGGTTTTTTCTTAACAGCGGTCGTCCCTCGGCAGGCAATGGCAAACCTCCGAGTGTATTTCGGCCAGGAAAAACAGCTTCTCATAAAAATACAATCGCCGTTCGGAGTCGGCGTAAAACTGTAAGTCCCTCCGCTTTGTCTGACAACATCAAGGCGCACGCCACAAATTGGAGGAGAAGCTTGGCCAAACACTAACATATGTGTAAGCGCCAATCTATTATTATTATTATGTATATGTATATATGTGTATGTATATGAAAATATATGTATGTTTTAAACGTGATTATATAATAAATATTTTATATGTATATTTATAAAAATTATAATTTATGTACATGTATTTTTGACTGGTATTAGGCAGAAAAAAATGTGCCAATAAATGTTTATGGTGTGACATATTTAAAGCAAAAGTGTTTTACCTTTCGAGGACTACGTTTAGCTACTCTAAGCAGTTTGTTCTAGACATTATTCTCGTAATCCCGTTTTTTCGAATTGGCTTCTGAGGTTTTCTTAAAATCCAAATCACAAATGTGCCATTTCGCCAAGTAATTTCTAAAAAACATTTAAGTTTTGATCCACAATCACTATTAAGTTGTTCGGTATCCACTCCACTTTTTTTGATATCCACAGATGGGTGCCATGTGATATCGAGTAAATATAATATATTCGAATATATAGAATCGAAAAACTCTGTAGGAGAAGAACACCGAGACCAAAGAGCATTTTTATGAAGGCTTTGGAGAAGAATACAAATACTGCACATGATGTTAAAATAGTGATTAGCAAAAATGGCATATTTGCTCGGACAGTAAAAAAAAATCAGCATTAACGAGAATACCTCTGACAACGGAGAGTGGCCGCGACACCGCAAACGGTAGTTAATATTCGTAGTTCGAGACATCGACATAGACATTTCCATGAAGGTACGTGGGTGTTTACTGATCAATGAATCAAAAGTTAAATTGATTACTTTGTGGTAGACTAAGCACCATTTTATCAAGTAGCCTTTAATTTAAAGCTCACTGTATATTTTAAAATTGGTTTAAAATATATAGTTATGTCTAAACTAAAGCATTTCTAATATCGGTTTTTGATGTATGTATGTTTCTTGGTTGTAAACCAATATAAAACCGATAGTAAAATCTTTTACTTTAGACACAACTATAATCTTTAATATAATTAATTAAATGTAAAGTGAGCTTTAAAGTTAGAGGCTACATAAGAAAACGGCCCTAAAAATTCTGAAGAACCCACAACACGCAGCGCTACGAAGGTTAGAAGTCGAAAAGACAACGAAGAGCGGAGAAGTTTCGTAATCGTCTCTCCTTCATGCGTAAACAAGCAACATTTCATCACCCGGATATAAATGAGCAGTGGGATTTCATCCTTCAATCTCTTCATACCACTGCGGAAGAGGTGGTTGGTTACTTCCACCCACACAGGAACAATTTGTGTGACGCAGAGTGCCACGCCGCTACTGCAGAGAAATATGCGGCATCCTAAGCCACCCTGCAGCCAATGGCGATACGGGTGACAATTGAACGTCACCGGCAAAAAAGGAGGAGAGATAAGCATTATTTAAAAAAAGAGGATAGATATAGAATTACATGAGTGCGAAGAGGTTAAGATGCTGAAAAAAGGAATGCGAACCGAAAGTTCTTGTAAAACTTAAAATGGCAATTGGATGGTTTAATGACTTGTTGTGGTACCTGCAGGGATGTGTTGACGCAAGGTATGTTGACGCAGTCACTTCCAAATCTACGAGGGCACTAATTATATGCAAACGTCTGCAAGGGAAGACCTGGGGCTGTAGTCCCAAAATCCTGAGATGGATGTATACCATAATAGTTGGACCAATAATCACTTATGGGGCAGCGGCTTGGGTCTCGAGAACCACCCTTACCACGGTAAGGCAATCCTTCACCAAGCTTCAACGTCTAGCATGTGCATGCATTAGGGGGGCAATGCGTACATGTCCGACGGCAGCGCTGGTGGTGATTCTAGAACTCGAGCCGCTGCACCTTACCATAGAACAGGTTGCAAAGCAAACTCTACTAAATTTCGCCAGAGAAGGCTTTGGCAGAGGAAAAACCCTATTAATAAGGAACATAGATAAGCCTAAGGTGGTTAACTTTGGCAGGAATTTTAAAATAGAGCTTTGCACCAAGTCGACTTGGAGCACCTCTCTCATGGAGAGGCATTTGCAATCTCGCTCGTTGCAATGGCACGCAGATGGCTTAAAGTCTCCGGAAGACATTGGGCCAGGCGCGTCCACGGACCAAGGCTACAGCTCTCGGTACCCATAGGGGCATACCCGAGTATCTTTCAAGCGGAGGTCTATGCCATCAGTCTGTGTGCAGGGATTAACCTACGTAGAAATTACCGTAATGAGAATTTTAATATTGAGCGATAGCCAGGCGGCACTCAAGGCCCTCTCATCATTTGAGGTCAAGTCAGCCTTGGTTCTTGAGTGCATTGATTAGCTCGATAGCCTGGCGGAGTACAATGACATCCAATTAACTCGGGTACCAGGTCACATAGGAGTTGCGGGCAACGAGGAAGCGGACCGACTAGCTAGAATGGCAGCCGCCTCGTCGCCTATAGGACCTGAGCCCTTCCTAGC